TGATTCATCTTTGAATGAAAATTCCTAGAAGAAGAAATCCATTGATTTAAAAAAATATCCTCCATTCTGTTGAGTAAGGATTCGCCATCGTCCTGTAGGTTCCAGATCCCCTCTTCCACAGAAGGTTCCAGAGTTAAAATCGAAAAACCCTCTCAGGTGCTTTTTGCAGTCCTCCAGCAGATTGAACGATTTTTCATACAAAGAATTTTGTAGAAACCTAAACAAGTGGTATTCTGATGGTGCTATGTTTGGACTATATGGGGGTGTGGTAAGACATCCCACCCAAGCTTTAGCAACTTTTGACGAGTGGCCAAAAATACGTGTGTCTGGAGGTACCCTGTTAGAAGGTTACGCCCTCACGATTGCCACTTCGGGTCGTTTTTGGTCTATCGCTGCCTCCATATTTTCTTGCTAACAATAGTACCTTTCCGAAGTCATCATTTGATTATGCGATAACAGCTCATGGTAAGTAATTTCCCCGAAATCCCATCAGCAACTCGGCATAGTATTCCGCACCTAGATTTTGACTTTTACAGCGGTTTGTGACGGCTCACTAGGGGGCTCCACGATCGCTTCCGCTTCTTATTGCTGTACACAATCCAATTTTCGTCCTTAGTGCTCATCTTTCAGAAACGGCTCATTTTTATTTCGTTTGAGCAACGAGTCGCACGTGGAGGCGCGGTCCATCTCGCTCATTTCGCGAGATATCTAAACATCAAGGCGTTTGGCTGCTTTCATGGTCCGCCGGCCGGCCGGCGTGCCGGCGTGCCGGCGGAGGCAGCGCTAGGGGGGAGGAGGGAGGCAGACAGATAGGCAAACAGTCCACGCCCCTTCGAAGGGTTGAAAACAAACAACCATCGAAGGGGCGTGAACTGTTTGCCTTACACTGTCTGCCTCCCTCCTCCCCCCTAGCACTGCCTCCGCCGGCACGCCGGCACGCCGGCCGGCCGGCGGACTATGAAGGCGGCCTTTTACAAAACCAAGTGTCTGCAGATGACCATGAATGGTTAATTTCGAAACACTAAGCCCTTGTCCTACTCCACGAGTAATTATGTGCTGATTCGCTTTGGGTCACATTTTGATTTGGTCGTTTTAACTGATGATAGTCTCCCTGAAGGTTGCCGGTCTTCGAGGGTTAATTCACTCTGATTGAATTTCGCAAACTAGTCATGCACTATACGTTCCTCTAGAGCATGGTCTACTCAAACGTCATATATCTTTCATGCGGCTTGAGCCGCATTCTAGGCCTTGCGGTAGAAGAAATAGTTCAGATGCCGAAAATGCGCGCAGTGGTTCTCCATTTTCATACAAGTCCTGTACAGACAAACTCCGACAAATGTTGACAGAATTCCAACAGGAATATAGAGGAAGACCCACTCTTTCAGAAAACATATATATGAGGTTGGGCCCTTCATCTTTTGTACAACAGTTGATAAATCCAGGGCGTCGAAAATTGGCGGGAACTTTTCTGACAACCGAATATTTACTTTCAAAATCCTTCACAAACACTCTATAGGAATCAGGCACGAAAACATTCGAGAAGGGCTTTGGTTTTTCCGTGGAGGAACGTGTTCAGTGTTGCAGGACTTATCTGCCAACCTGATAAAAAGCTGGCATTTTCTTTGATATAAGTTAAACATAGGGTGCGACGACTTATTATAGGGCACATGTGAGTAGTAATCCACAACATTTCGCTGATTTTTGATGGTGTTAAGTCCCATGATTGATCTTTTGATGGTGTTAACTGGAGCCCACCATGTAACCCATAAAGTGACATGTTCAAAAGACCAACGCATACATGGAAACAGTTGATGAGGATGTCGAAAAACTCTGACTAACGAAAAGCTAGGTGTTCAGATGAACTGATGGAGTTACACTTGACACTGTATGTGTCTCCAGATTGCCCTTCAAACGCAATGAAGACCACCCATCTATGAACCGAACACCAGCTGCTGATAAAAGTTCAAGTAATTAGATAATTACTATAGTTTTATTCATAAACCTTATTATGGTAAATATAAGACGAGCCTACTTAAACGAGGTCCAAGGCTGACCACCAAAAGAAGAAGGTCATGACACCAATTTGACGGGATTACAAGGGTGAGATATATAATGGTTTAAAGCGCTCCCAAAAAGCTAGAATGTTGACTTAGACCTCTATCCACTAGAATCCCATGGAACAGTTGGGAAAGCCCTACAAAATCAGTGAGCCGCAAAGGAGTAATATAAGGCTATGGCAAGACTGTATTGCATACGTTTTTGGGGATTTGGCAAAAATTACGAAAGCATGGAGGAAAGTGACACTAAATTCACCATACCGCCCATACCTGACGCCATCCAAACACCAAACGTGTCGGTAGTTGCAAAACTCCTTCAATGGGAAAACCTTCACAGAAGATAAAAATATCAAAGGTAATGTGGTCCAGTTTTTTGGCTAAACCGGAAGTTCCACTATGGATGAAGTATGAAATTACCACAAGTATAGAGTTATAAATTTTTGATCTAAGCCCCGCCCACCTTGGTGCCAACCCACTTCGAGGATTTGTCCACATTTGCTCCATTACCTCCAACCAATTTTTCCCGCATTCTAGAACGTTTTTGAATAGAGTTATAAATTTTTGATCTAAGCCCTCCCACTTTGGTGCCAACCCACTTCGAGGATTTCTCTACATTTGCTCCATTACCTCCAACCAATTTTTCTCGCATTCTATAAACGTTTTTGAATAGAGTTATAAATTTTTGACTTTTTGACTTTTTGGACCCCCCCCTACTTTGGTGCTAACCCCGCCCACTTCAAGGATTTGACCACATTTGGTCCATTACGTCTAACCACGTTTTTCCTGCGTTCTGGAACGTCACTGAACGTTACAATCATTTTTGAAAAGTAGCCTTCACCTCAGCGGACCTTACGCATGCCCAGCACGCATAAGGCCCTGCTCACTCTTTTTATTTTTTTTTTGGTCTCGACGCCCTGTATCGAGTTGTGAATCTCTGTGGAAAGTACCGCCCACTGGGAGAATGCTCCGCCCACCGCCGGTAAGTTTCGCTATTTCACTCATCCCTTACCTTTGCATCGGGTTATATCGAATTTCTGCAAAAACAAACAAACAGACAGACAGAGGCACTTTATATATAGTAAGGATTTTTCGTCATAATCTGGATGACCCAAAATTACCGTGACTGTGCCTTCAAATCACTGCGCTCTGGGCTAAGGATAAGGACTCGCACGGGAAAAGGTAACCTGTTTCCCTGTCACATGCTTTCGGTACTACCACCAGATGTCGGCTTGTATGGCCCGAAATCTCTCAACGTTCTCTACTGCGGAAATTGAGTTGGAGCGTTTATTATCCTCTTCAACGATATTTATAAAAAAATAGTTAGCTTACACAGCACGTCTGCATGTCTACACGGCTAAGTGTGGGTCCCTCACAGACAGAACCTGGCAAGCTACCCCTGGGCTACTGCTGTGCCAAAAACAGTAATATTAATGAGCCTCATTTTCTGAACCTAAGGGAACTTCCAAAACGGCAGCGTGGGTCAGACCGCTCGTAAGAAGCTGCTGAAATCTGAGGGCCAAAACAAGCTGCCTACATGTGAGGACTAAGATGGCGATCCGTACTTCCAATGCACGAAAGTTTGCACCGGAAGATGTATAGAAGACGTGTATAGAAGATCTGATGGTGCAAGCCAGGAAGATCAAGTACCACGCCAACGGTCTGACCGAGACGAGAAGGAAACGTCCGCTGCACGCTGTATTTGAGGAGAAGAACTGTTCCTTGAAACATGCGACAGCAGAGGCGTTCGCGGCGCAGTGTCCTCGTCAATACGCACTTGGCCACGAACATCGATTCCTACGAAAGCTTAACAACCCGAATCGGACGTTTGCGATTGAGAAGATGTGACTCAACCCCAGCACTAGCATTTTCCTTTTACGTACCAACACCGACCTACGAGTAAGAGCAGCCAGAAGCGTTTATGTGGATCTGGAGAGGCTCTACAGTGAACACTACACTTTCTTCAATGTCATCGTCGGCGATTTTAACGCCAAGATTGGCCCCAAAAGAACGGCTGAACAGCCCCACATCGGGACTCACAGAATGGAATGGAACGAGCAGGGTGAAAAGCCGTCCGAGTTTATTCATGTCGACCCACACCATCCATGGTAACTGACAGTTCCAGAAGCCCTCTCATTTGCGATGGTCATGAGAGACACCTGATGGACAGTTCCATAAAGAAGGCCACATCATCTTCAATCGGAGATTTTGTCTATCTGACGTCGCTGTTGTTCCAAAGTTCCACGGGATCGGACCATCCTCTGGCTGCTTTCATAGTCACCAATGGGCCCGCGAGCGCGCTTACACCTGAATGGAGGAGAGGCTGCTTTCATAGTCCGCCGGCGTGCTCGCAGGCTTTCCTTTTTGTAAATATCTCGATAGCGAAGCAACCTAAAGATTAGAGGTATGTACCATCACCATCCACTACTCGACACCAACGCTAAGGCAGTTTGGCGTCTCCTTCCTCCTAGAAAGACGGGGGCTGGGACTTGAAGAAGTCGACGAGCGCCTTTCTGACATTATCGTCTAATTCAAACTTTTTTTTCCGTCCAGAAAGCGCTGCAAGTGGCTGAGCAGCCAGTAGTGGGAAGGAACAAGATCAGCGCTGTAGGGGGGCTGGGCGACAATTAGTCATCCGTACTTCTCCAGCTCAGCCTGGGTCGGTGTGAGGTCGGGCGTTGCCATGGTGGAAGTAGATTTCCTGTATTCGATTCATGAGTACGGTCGACGTGATCTTTTAATTTCCTCAGCTGGGTAACTTATGCGCAAGCGTTAATCGTCTGCCCCTTATCCAGCAGCTCCCAGTATTCCATGCCTCGTCTGGTCTACCAACAGGACAAGAGAACCTTGTTGGCGTAAAGGTCGGCCTTTGAGATGGCTTCTAACTGTTCTCCTTTGTCGACCCACTGCCGCTTCCTCCCATGGTTATAGTAGAGGACCCAATTTTCATCTCCAATGATCATCGAGTTGAGAGAGTGGAGCTTCGTCAGGAAAGTGAGGAGAGAAGTGCAAGTGGCCACCCTCCTCGAAGGTCATAAGCGGAAAGTTCATGTGGGACCCATCGACCACGCTTTGCTACTTCCCGAGGTGTTCCAGTCCACGTCTAATCGTCGATTGATTATAGCCGGAAATGGTCGCCATTTCCTTGATGGTTAGATAAGGGTCCACCTCCACGGTGGGACGTAGTACCTCCAAATCCAACTCCATCGGCTGACCCGACCTCAGAGCGTCTTCGAAAGAAAAGTCCTTCCTCGGATTTGGCGAACCTAGACTTGCATGTGCATAAGAGATGACGTCCTCGCCGTATGTATCCACTAGCTTGTTATGGGCTTCCTCTGCATTCCAGCCGAAATCGTGAAGCAAAACCAGGCTGTGGCGCAGGTAGATTCTGTCACAGTGGTAACTGTGCGGCATTGTCGTCTGTACATGCAGGGTGGGTGAGTGATAGCTAGGGTGACCATAAAGTATCATGCACAGGTCAAGCACACGTGACGACGAAATACGAACATCCGTGCAAACGAAATACGGAAGGATCAAACAAGGGGGAAAACTTATGCAACAACCCAATAATATACGTTACTGATCTCTCCATACTTTCTAACAAGATGGAGGGAACGAAGTATGTCTAGAAATAAGACCACGACAACAGAGAAAAAGTTTTATAAGGTAGTAATACTGCGCATGTAAATCCCAATTCTCTGCTGCGTACTTCAAGGCACGAAGGACCGCAGTGTTGAGAAGGTGAGGGCGGAGACAAGGGTGCTATCTAAAAAGCTGGCGGCGTCTGCGAAATTCGCTGTGGGACCGCAATACCGTAATCCCTCACGTGCTTAGTTACAGCTGGCCTAAATTTTGTTGGGTCAGCTGCAGCTCTCTTGTGCCTGAGTAATAAAAAGGCTAGAATTACAATCATGGAAATAGAGATTGGTCCCGTTTCATCTTGAGCGCGAGATCTATTCTAGCATTTCCGGCAAACTGTTCGAAACCCGGTAGTGAAACCTTTTATAGTGAACAAAATCAGTAAAAGTTTCACTAGGCTCAGATCGTTCTCTTGTAGGAAACTTTCTGTACTCACGGTTGGGATCTCTTTGACACAACTAAATATTAGGTTGATGCATAATTATTGCGGATTTTTTTTTCTCGATAGTATTTGAATATTGAGTTCGGGTTTTAACTAGCAATGATCTACTTGATTTCCTTCACAAGAATATACTCAAAAAATCATCCGCATATTCGCGAAATTAGGCTTAACTACTTCGAGAAAGATTGGAAGGTGGCACAGTCATTCCGC